GAAGGAAGACAAAAGAGATATTTTTTGTGATCATTGCAAGAAGCCCAAACATAGTAGGGACACCTATTGGAAATTGCATCCTCACCTAATGCCAATTAGACTTAGAAACAAGAAAGGGAGGGCTAATGTAGCAACTATTACTGACAGTGCATCTTCTTCCAGCACAAGGACCACATCTTTGGATGCCTTAGCAGCTGTCTGGGCTGTATCGACACAGCTAGAGAATGAAGTTGGCATTTCTGGATCTACATCTCAGTCTTCAGCTGCCACGCCTGCTCATTCTACTTCAGCTCTCGCTCATACAGGTACAAGAGCTACCACATGTCATGCTTCTGTCCCAGGTAACACTAGACCTCTCTGGGTAATATATTCAGGTACTTCAGACCATATGACCAACTTATCTACTTTGTTTAGCACCTATTGTTTATCCTCTGGGAGAGACAAAGTTTCTATTATTGATGGCTCCCTTATGCTAATTTCTGGCAAGAGAGACATCAAATTGTCTGACGCCATCACCCTATCCTCAGTTTTGCATGTTCCCAAGCTTAGTGCTAACTTACTTTCAGTTAGTAGTATTATTAAAAATCAAAACTGTTCAGTAACATTTTCCCTGATCGGTGTGTTTTCAGGATCTAGAAACGAAGGTGATTGGGATTGGCCATGAGATGAATGGAGTCTACCTGCTTGAACATTCATAAGGGAAGCAGAATGAAGTGGGGAAATTGTTTGTTTCTCAGTCTTGGAGTTAAGATTATGCTTTGGCATAACCGCTTAGGTCATTTGCCTTTTGGGTCTTTGAAGAGTCTTCTTCCAAACTTATTTGAGTCAGTCGAAGTGTCTAGTTTGAAGTGTGAAAGTTGTAAGCTTGCAAAACACAGTAGATCATCTTATCCTTTGAGTAATAAAAGAAGCAACCTTCCTTCTAAAATTGTGCATACCGATGTTTGGGGGCCATATCATACTCCTACCATGGGGGGGTACAGATATTTCTTGTTATCTGTTAATGATTATACCTGTTTCTCATGGGTTTATCTTATGCACTCTCGAGATGAGGTCCCTTCTCTGACCCAGGCTTTCCATCAGATGGTTCTAACCCAATTTGAAACCAAGATCAAAACTCTTAGATCCGATTTTTTTTTTTTTTGATCAAATAACAATTTCATTAAAATTCATTAAATCAACAAAAGAATAATTACAACAAGGAAGACAAACACTCTTATCTTCCGAATACAACTTAAGCCCTCAAGAAAAGAAAAGAAAAAGGAGAGGAAGAAACAATTAAATTACAACTTAGCCCAAAACATTGAGTCCCATTCTACCCCTTGTTTAGCTAATCCATCAGCTACAAAATTAGCTGATCTTTTAACTCAACTCATCTTATCTTCCATCTACAGCAAGAGCCACTTAAATTTCCTCCTCTCACTGTTGTAATTCCATAAGGCATTGTTGTCTTTATTCAACCACCCTATCACCACCTCTGAGTCCCCTTCAATTATGAGTATTTTTATATTCATCACCTTAGCTTTCTGGACTCCTTCCATAGCTGCCAAGATCTTAGCTCTAAGGGAGTCACCCACCTCTTAGATCCTATAATGCCAGGGAATTCTTTGCAAAACCCTTAGCATCCTATCTCCTTGATCATGGGGTCATTCATCAGAGCACCTATCCTTGTACACCTCAATAAAACGGGATTGCTGAGAGAAAAAATAGACATCTTAGAGGTAGCTAGAAGCATCATGCTCAACTCTAATGCACCCATACGCTTCTGGGCGGATGCAATCCGTACAGCCATAAATCTTATTAACAGGGTTCCTTCACAAGTTCTAAACATGCAAACTCCATTCAGTCTTCTATATCCAGATAAGGACTTCTTCACTATTCCCCTCAAAACTTTTGGGTGTACTTGTTTTGTTCAAATCCTTGGACCTCATCATTCCAAGTTTGATCCCAAAGCTACTAAATGTATTTTCCTTGGGTATGCACGAAATCAAAAGGGATATTGTTGTTATGAACCTGTTTCAGGAAAGCGCTTTGTGTCCATGGATGTCACTTTTTGTTAGGATATGCCCTACTATTAGGGCTTCTCCTCAAGGGGAGAGTAGTGAGGAAGGGATTTCAGTTTCAGCCCCAAAAGTTCCTTTATCTGTCCCAGTTACTGAGGTGGAGAGTTGTGAAGAGGGTTGTCAAAAATGCTAAGAGTTGAGAGTATATCACAGAAAGTGGTGGAAGCAGGTTGATTTTCGTACTCAACAACAATCCCGGTCAATTCCAACATCTTCTACAACCCTAGGTCCAGACACTACTACTACTCCCACTATTGATCCCACTATTAAAGATGCTCAGCCCTCACCGTCATATGACCTTGATCTTCCAATTGCAATTTGTAAAGGGAAGCGACGTTGTACCTCATCCACTGCCCATTGCATCTCCAAGTTCCCTTCCTATAATTGTCTATCAGAATCCTATATATCTTACCTAGCATCTATTGCTACTATTCCTATACCCAGAAAGGTGCAAAAAGCCCTTCTGATACCTGAATGGAAGGAAGCAATGCAAGCAGAGATGGATGCTCTTGTTAAGAACAACACATGGAAACTAGTTAACCAGCCTGAAAGGAAGAAACCTGTTGGATGCAGGTGGGTGTTTACTATGAAATATAATGTTGATGGTACTATAGAAAGGTATAAGGCCAAATTGGTTGCAAAGGGATTCACACAAACTTATGGCATAGACTATGTGGAAACCTTTGCACCTGTTGCAAAGATGAACACTATCAGAGTCCTACTATCCATTGCTGCGAACTTCTCATGGCCACTATTCCAGCTAGATGTTAAGAATGCTTTCCTCAAAGAGACTTCCACAAGAAGGTATACATGGAGTTACCCCTGGTTTTTATAGTATAGAAGCAGGAAAGAAAGTTTGCCTTCTGAAGAAGGCTTTGTATGGGCTGAAACAATCTCTGAGAGCATGGTTTGATAGGTTTAGACTGGCTTTGGACAAATTCAGCTACATACAGGCTCAGTCAAATCACACTCACTTCTTTAAGAAGACAGTTCTTTCCCTGACTCTATTTGCAGTCTATGTAGATGACATTGTGATAACAGAAGTGATATTAGTGAAATTGAAACTCTTAAACAACATCTTCACAAGGAATTTGAAGTGAAGGACCTAGGGGAATTGCACTATTTCCTAGGAATTGAAGTAGCTCGATCTAAGCATGGCATTTTTATCTCTTAAAAGAAGGTTGTTATGGACTTATTGGAAGAAACTGGAAAGTTAGGAATGAAACCTGTTGACACACCTATTGAGCTTAACCATAAAATAAGTGCAGAAAATGGAGAACTTCTTGAGGACAAAGCTATGTACCAAAGGCTGGTTGGGAAACTTCTTTATCTCTGCCTAACTCGACCAGATATTTCTTATGCTGTCAGTGTTGTTAGCCAATACATACATTCTCCTAGGACCACCCACCTCCTTGCAGAGAGGATTTTTACCTACTTAAAGAGATGTCCAGGGAGAGGTATACTCTTCAAGAATAGTAGTCACATGAAAATAGAAGTGTATACAGATGCGGATTGGGCTGGATGTATTGATGACAGGAGGTCCACCTTTGGATATTGTGCATTTGTGGGAGAAAATCTTGTTTCTTGAAGAAGCGAGAAACAAAATGTTGTTGCTCGCTCTAGTATAGAAGCAGAATATAGATCCATGGTCAATGGTGTTGTAAAAGTGTTATGGCTAAGATCCTTACTTAATGAATTGGAAATTGATTATGAGAAGCCTCTGATATTGTATTGCGATAATCAAGCTGCAATTAATATTGCCCACAACCCAAATACAATATGACAGGACTAAGCATATCGAGGTGGACAGACATTTTATCCGAGAGCGAGTTGCATCTCAAGAAGTGTGTCTTCCTTACATTGCCTCAAACATGCAGTTAGCTGATCTCTTCACCAAAGCAATCACAAAAATCAAATTGGAGACAGATTTACGCAAGTTGGGCATGACAAATATCTACTCCCAACTTGAGGGGGAGTGTAGAAATAGTTAGTAGCCACAAGTGTGAGGTTTCATACCCACACTTAGGTTCTAGTGTGTGGTTCCATACCCACACTTAGTTATTTTCTTTAATTATTTTTAAATTGGGCCAGCTGGCCTTATCCTAGTTATGATTTGTTTTATTCTAGATAGGATTAGAGTTTGCCTTTTTTTCCTCTAAGTAGGATTAGATTATCTCCTATTCTTGTAAGGAAACTAAACTATATAATGAAGCTTATGGGGCGACAGAATTATCAACCGAACCCCTTTTCTCCTCTCTTTTCTTCTCTCTCTCTTCCCTTCTCTTCGAAGCCTAGTTCTTTTCTTTTTCTAAATTGCAGTAGAACAGAAATCTACTAGCTTTCTTTCAAGTCAAAAGAATATTTGTCAATAAAAATAAACAGAACCATCCCCCAACCCCCGCCGCCCCCCCCCAAAAAAAAAAAAAAAACTGACGGCATGTCTATTAAAATAAGTTTAAAGAAAATTATGGAACAGTCTATTTGTAGATAATCCAAATAAAGTGAAAGTAAAACAATAAAAATATAGATAATATCCTGGGGTGTACGGAAAACTGCTTGATGCAATGGTAACATCTTGGGATGACAAGTTTGGGGCTGTGGATTTGAGACTGATAGTGGCCAGTTTTTGAAAAAGAAAAATTGTCAAGCGTCCATATCCAGTCCACTGCCACCACCACCCCAAGATCATGGAAATCCAGGATTAAAATTGGGTAATGGTCCTTTTTAGGGACCACTGCTGGGTATAATGGTAAAATCATGGGCTGACGAGCATGAGGATGCAGGTTCAAATTTCATCAGCCACTTTGTGCGAAAAAAAAATGCTGGAGGATAGGTTCATATCTAGTCAATCCCTCTCAAACCCCTGATAGCCAGTACCAACATTGGGTAATAACCCTATATATGCATACATATTAGCTGCACACACACATGGATTACCTTTGTTGCACCAGCGTCCAAACTATTAAATATCAATTCTTCCACAACCCTTGTCAAGTCAAAAAGAATGACACTTGAGCGCAGTGAACTATGGACACCCTTTGGCAAGTGCTTAATGCTCTTCATTCACTGAAATCCGAAAGAGAACCAATGGACAATAAGTATAGCCCTGAGAAAGTTGGTCATTCTTTCTAAAACTTGGGTACGAGAAATTAGATAGGCAGCATATGAACTACAGGTCAACAAACATTTAACAATGGATGATATAGCAGAAACTAAAGTTTAATCTACAGATATTCCTACCAAGCCGTAGCTTTACTCCCAACAAACAATTAACTGGATTAATGAAGTAAATAGGGTAAGGAAAAGGTTCCATCTCGAAATAAATTGCCTTCGATGGTTGATAATCTGATCAATTGAAATTTTAGGTAAAAAAAAAGATCATGACACACTAAAAGCTTATGAACACCACATTAGGCAATTAATAACAGTTATAAAATACCAAATTTGGTGGTTTACCAGATGAGCAAGACGAATTCAGAAAAGCATAGGAGTTTTCTAATCAAAACAGTGTTCCCTATAAGCTTCACTATAGAAACATACTAAACAAAGTAACTAAAAGATGCCGCACTACCCGTGAATCCCAACAATGACAGAAGAGAAAACAACTATTGCAAGAACATAAAGGGGGAGGGGGAACCCTATGAACTGAGGGGGGGGAAAGAAAACAAGAGAACTCTGTGCAATATAAATTCAGGATAGAATCGTTGTCGGAAGATCTCGAAAGAAAACAAACCGTGGAAACTATATCAAATTGAAAGAAAGCTTACGAGAATCCAATAACAGAGAAGTGAAGGAAATTTTAACGAATCACGGAGAGAATGTATTGGACGATGCATAGACTACAAAAAATATATATGGATAGAGAATTAATTTAAAAACATGAATTGAGAATTTGATTGATCGGTTAAGCACCTGTTGAGAGATGGCAAACGAAATGATCGGTATTGCGATGGCTAACAGAAGCCACAATGAAGCTTGGCTGAGTAAGTTCGAAAAGGCGGTAAATTCACCGATTAACGTGTTTTTAAGTTGAGGGCTTCATTTCTTGGAGTCCGGATCCGATCACAACACAATCGTCCCAACATAGCACAGTCGCGCCATCTGTCCTTTAACACGAGCAGAAACCACGCCTGTGTGAATACTGCAGCCTCGTTCGTTTAGAGTTCGGCTTCAGTGAGAGCTTGGACCGTCCGAACACTGTTCGAACAGCTTTTACAACCTTTCATCGGGAATATCTCCGTATTTCTGTGCTTTATTTCATGCGGAGATATTCCCAATGTAAGGCAGTGATGGCTGTTCGAATGGATTTAGCTCTAACTGAATCCGGTCTCTCTGCTTTATGCGTTCGAACATTACGAGAGAACAAACGCGTTTCTAAACGCATGCACATGATATACTCGTGCGAGGATTGTAATCGGTCATTCAGCATGAACGTTGTTAGCTATTCCTCCATTCAAAACGATTTTCCCTTTTCCTTTCCCTTCTTTCCCGCGTCTCTCTACCCAAATCGAGCTCACCGAACCCCTGTTCTGTTCTCCTCTCCAACTAGTGAAGACAAAAGGCATCATCGGCGGTCCGTCCTCCACCGGCGACCGGCAACAGAACGTAAGTAAGCCTTCCTTCTTCTTTGCTTCTCAAAACATAGTATTCTCCCATGAAAAGTCGTTTGATCCTTAGTGTTGATGGTAGCGATATTCCGTCGGCGACGAACGACTTCATCTGCAACTAATCCTTGGGCGACCGGTGATAAATCTTGGGTAATACCTCCTTCTTTTTGCTTCCCCAACAATAAATCTAAGCTACCTCACTGTTATTATGCGTGTGACTCTATTGTGTGTCGTATTGCCATCGAGGAAAAAGGCTCTCTCAACCCTGCCATGTGTTCGATTTATTGTGTGTGTGAGGGAAGTTTAACATAGAATAGCTCTTGTAATTGTTGCATCCAAGATTTCTGATTCATGCATGCTGGTTTGGAACAACGAAAGCAACATCTTCTGATTATCATATTCAGAACCTAGTCCATCTAAGAGGGATTATCATTTTTTAGCCACATTTGATTTTTATCCCACTACTCACAAGACAGAGTTGTACATGGCGTGTAAGATAGAAAATGACAAGTAAATATCACCGTTCCGAAACCTGTACATGGAATTCAGCATATCATAAAACTGCAATTGGTATACTTAAGACGCTTTTGTAAAAACCAACTCGAATGCTCTGTGTTAAATAGAAGCTTTTAGTAGTTATTCTGCTCAAAGGGTCTCTTGACCCAACCCCAGGTGGTTGTAACTTCTGTGGTCAATCTCATACAACCATACATAACATAAGATTTGAGCACAGTAAGTGCTAATCACCCATCATTAACACTCCCGATTTGAAAGGAAGTTCATATTATTAGACTAGACTTCAGACTACTAAATTCCTGAAACCAGAAAAATAAGAAACCAAAGAAAATCCTCTTGGTTTTCGATTTCTCCACAGAACTATAAATTTATTGTTAGGAAGTTTTGGTTGCTTATCTTGTTAAACATCAAAGTGATTCCATTTTAGTTTTCTGTTATTTCTTTACCTATAATCTATTTATTAGTTTTATGATGATCAACAAATAAAATGAAGGAAAATTTGACAGATAGATCTAGGAGACCAGTTTTTACATATACAATGGATGTAGATTAGTAAAGCAAACAATTTCTAGTAACATATTCAACTTGATGAAAAAGACGCTTGGAAATGAGAAATTAAAAGTATTAACATATTCAACTTGATTTTTTCATGTTTTGAGTAACTGTATATAACAACTTGTGATGTGGACTTGGTTTTGCTATGGTCCGGTCTTGATCCACAATCCACAATCTACAATCTATGATCCTTAAACCTAATACGGGTTTCGACATTAGTGCAGAGATGAGTTCTCAATCGACATCTCAGAGCACATCTTATAAGAAATTGAAGTATCCATCAAGAATTTGTGATTGTGGAAAGAAATGTGTAATCCACATGTCGGAGACAAATTTGAACCCACAAAGGTTGTTTTATAATTGTCTCGGAATCATGGTAAGTACTATTATAATTGTGTATTTTATGTGTTTGTAATAAAATTTTGAGATTGTTAGATGCATTGACTTGACTTCACATGTATTTAGGAAAAGAAAGTCAAAGTGGCGTTTTGCAATTATTTTGAATGGCCATTTCCTACAACCACTTCCGATGAAGCTACATCATCAATGAATGTAGGACATGCAGTAACTCACGCTAAAGAGATCAATAGGTTATTATTTGAATTGAATAGGTGTGTGTAATCAATGGAGTCTTCGAAGGATCATCAATAGCTACTTTCTAAAGAATTGAAGAGGATACGAGTTTTGCTCATTATTTTTATAATTGGGTTTCTTGTGGTGTATATGTTCAACAAATAGCAGTTAGGAACTATGTTTGCAGTAGAAATGTATTTTGACCAAGACTCTAGTATTTATGATCAGGAAATATGTGTATTTATGTTAGGGATGAGCATTGGACTCAAATGGCATTCAGCCATTTATATGTATTTAAGCTTTTAGTTTGATATATGTTGAACCATGTATATGTATTCAATCATGTTGGAAGCTGAATTGGTAGTAGACCTAGTTTGGTAGTAGACCTAGTAGGCTCCAATTGAATAAGCACATATTAACAGCATGGTTGTATATCAGGTTGTTAGTGTAGAAGAAAACACAAAAGCACTTTCAAATGGCTATATATCAAGGGATTGGTGTTTTATATAAGGAATATTCAAAATTGTAATATAAATGGGCATTGTTTATTCATTCATTTCAGATTGAGCATATCAAGCCTGATATGGCGTGTTCAGCTTTAGTCCTTGGAACATGCCATCATGATTGAATAATTGGCATGGGATAAATCATAATAAATCATGTCGGCATGAAGATTGAGCATATCAAGCCTGATATGGCATTTTCAGCTTCAGCCCTTGGAACATCCATCGTGGTTGAATAATTAATGTTTTAAAAAATAGCATTTTATTCTTCATTCATGCAAGTAAATCTGCCAAGGTATTGTACTCTTATTCTCACTTATTTAGGGCATATAAAAGAAGAGGTATGGTTGCACTTCATTAAGTCAAAATTTTAACCTCAATTAGAATCAGTGGGTCTGGCATCCATGGTTTAGAATCAATGGGTCCAGCAACCTCAATTGAAAATTTTCCTGATTTAGGTCATAAAGATTTTGATCTATTGCTGCCCTAAGCACTCCATGGTTTAAGAAAAAAATAAAAGAAAAGCCATGTGGAGAAATGGTGCTTGTTATAGTTTACAAAAATTTCTTTTCAATAAATGATAATCAATGTGCTAGCCTAAGACATCCCTCGTCTATTTAGTCGTTGGACTTCGTAAGGTCCAATCCATGATGATTCCTACATGAGCACATTAGTGTATTAGTGTTTCATAAGTTTATAAAAAGAAGTGATTGGAATATATATAGTTTTGAAGAATATTTTTATCACCTGACTTGGTTGAGGTTTAGTGGATTTTGTTTCAGTAAACACGCTTCCCGACACTTCTTGTATGTGAACATTATTAACAAATGGAGCAAGATGATTATATATGAGCCAATGGAGTGGTTAGGGCATGGTGTTAAGATTCTGTTGCCAATCCTATAACACATATTAGAAGGTAGCACATATTAGAAGAGACATTTTCATTTTGAGGGATGGTATTAAAACCATAATTGAAGAAACTAATTTACATGAACTCGGTTTGGAATTGCATTATGTGATTCAGCTCTACTTGCAATAGATTCCCAAAACCTTAGGACCTGTATTATAAGAGTCTTAAAAAGGTTTCAATGCAAGATATATCGAACTTTAATGCCTAACCTAATTGAACTTTGATACTTGGATGTTATAGAGTGATTAGATTCTTGTTCTTTTGTCATATTCTTATTGGCCATATGATTCAAATTCCCTCCATGTCTACATGCCTAAAATAGTAATAACCAATAATTAGTAAAATTCTAAAAAATCAAATTATATAATTTAGAAAATACTTGTGTAGTGCATTTCTCAATGGATTAACCCTTCTTTGATCTCATTCTCTTGGCTATCGCTTTCTTTAAGGCATTTTTTGGATTTTTTAAAGAGTGCACCTTGGAAGCCTTGTGCTTAAATCCTTTCACATGCCTTTGAAGCCCATCTCTCATCGAACTAGAATTTGTACTGCAATTGATATCCTTTACAACTTGTATGCCATAAGTTGAAATTTGTGTCATTAGTTTTAACTTATGTGCCATCAAGATCTATGTAAGAAAAACCTTCAACTACAATGCCATCAAATTCTACAGATAATTGACCAGTAGTTATTTGCTTTATACACCTTGACACATCTTCTACGAGATTTTCTCCTACTTGCATAGCCATTTTGTAAGCATCATGACTAGGTGCAGCTTGATTAACTATTTGTGTAAACAAATGAAGTAGCTATTTCTTCTGTGTTGCCATTCTTGTAGCTTCATCCATATGCCCATGTAATGCTTCATTCTTGGGGTTTTTTTGCATTAATAGTCCACCTTCTCAAAACATGGCACGAGGGCAAGACTTCCACGCATCTATAATCAAGTATTTTCAAACATTGTTTGCATAAGAATCCAACAAACTCAAAGTTCTTACAGGTGCAACTGATTGAATTGCTACTTGAATCAAAAGTCACCTTGTATCGACGTTTCACACCATACAAGCCAACTGTATATTCAGTTGTTGTTTCAGACACAACACAATCTTCTTTGATCCTACAATTTAATTGTTGCAATACCTCATTTTGGAACATGGAAAAAATGGGTGGGGTATACACACGAGAAGCAAAATCTAAAATTGTCATATTTGCTGCCATGAATGGAGTGCTTTGTATTACTGCAAATTCGGCTTTCAACTCTTCATATCTCCTATCAACAACTACCCTTTCGAAGTGTCAAGGAACCTTGATAGGTCATACTTAATATTGACATATTTTTTAAGACAGCTATTCAGACTCTCGCTCCTCTGTGTTGTGCTCATACCGGCAGAAAATGTCTGACGCCCAAATACTAATGCACATTTGTGCCTTTTACTATACAATTTTTATAACCATTCATTCTCTTGAAGTGTGTATTTATCAATCATGTTCTTCCATGCATTTTCAAATTCATCAACATCATCATAATCATACACACAATCTCTAAAGTCTTGCGAAAATGATTTGAACTTCTCAAATACACCGCTAAGGTGTTTTGAAACACTCTGGAACATGTGCCAAACACATAACTGATGATGTGATTGAGGTAGCACCAAACTAATTGCTTTTGCCATAGCTACATCATCATCGGTGAGAATTGTCTGCGGTGGTTTTCCACCCATTGTTTTAAGAAACACCTCAAATAACCATTCAAATGAAGCTGTAGTTTCATCATATAATAATGCAACACCAAAAATTATTGCCTGCCTATAATTATTCACTCCCACGAAAATTACAAGTGATCTGTTCTCCTTGTTTGTTCTATATGTAGTGTCAAAACTTACCACATCACCAAAATGAGCATAATCCACTATCATTTGTGCATCTGCCCAAAATAAATTTGTAACTAGCTCAACTTGGTCAAGTTGTATTGTATAGACAAATGATGGATTCTGTAATTGCTTGTCTTCAAAATATTGCAAAATACCACATGCCTCCCCCTTCTCCATATTCCTAGTTTGGTATGAATGCAAATAATTTTTTAAATCTACAGAAGTGAACCCAACATTTTCACGACCACCAGCTTCCCTTGCCATTAGCTCCATAACTGCTTTTAGAGCTATTCCCGCATCATTTGCCATTTTAGCTTGAAAACCTTGTATGTCACTAATCATTCTTTGTGATCTCAACATGTGTGATTTGGTAGGGGTCACAATCATATGATTATGAGTCTCATTGAAACCAATGACAGGATAACCATCCTTCGAATGACTTATTGTCATAGTTTCCATACAACCACATCTTGTTTTTGGCCAGAGAATCTTAGCATTCAAACATCTATTTGCTTTACGCTTTCCTTATCTAGAGCAACAAAACTTGCCTTATTTTACTTTGTTAGATCATTTTCACACTACCATACTTGCTTTCCGAATACTGAATCCCACCTTTCCAGCATATGTGTTATAAAACTCATACGCTTCCTCTATCGTTGGAATTGTCATGCCAATCTTTGGGGTCCACTTTTGAAGAATGAGTCTTAACTTTTCCTTAAGTTTGTTTTGTATGTTTGTATTTTCTTTAGATGTAAGCAAATCATCATTGGGTTTGGATGGTTCATTTATGTAAAAAGAAGGTGTTACCTCATTTGAATCATAGGTGGTGTTGAGTGAAGAGTTTGGTAGTCCACCTATGTCTTCATCCAAGTCAAAGTCCAGTTTTCGCATGGAGTGGGGGATACCATCCATTTCCTATTCTACACATCAAAATTTAATCAATTATATGCTAATGTTATCACATCACATAAGAGAGTCCCTTTTATTGATAAGTATCTAAAGAAAATGTAAATTGATGCAGAATTTGTTTTTTTTTAGGTGGAATAACACTATCTTGCATTTATTAATAAAAAACATAAAGTTGATATAATCGAAGTGGATTAATGAGATGTAGGTCTAATGGTTAGAGTTGAAGAACACCAACTAAGGTAAGCATCCACACAAGTGAGGTAAAACTCACTTATTTGCATTTATTGCTCTGCACCCTACTTATTTGCAATGTCACTGCTATATAGGTAAAACTCTTAAGAATATTCTAAACGACATGTTTTTTGCAAGCATTCTCCCTCACACGCACAATAACAGTGAGGTAGCTTAGATTTATTGTTGGGGAAGCAAAAGGAAGGAGGTATTACCCAAGATTTACCATTAGTCGCCCAATGATTAGTCGACAACGGAATATCGCTGCCATCAACAGTAAGGGTCGGGCAGCTTTTCATGGGAGAAGACTATGTTTTGAGAAGAAAGGAAAAAGGAAGGTTTACTTGCGTTCTGTCACCGGTTGCCGATGGAGGAAGGACCGCCGATGATGCCTTTTGTCTTCACCAATTGAAGAGGAGAGAAGAACAGGGGTTCGGTGAGCTTGATTTGGGTAGAGAGATGTGGGAAAGAGGGGAAGGGATAAGGGAAAATCGTTTTGAATCGAGGGATAGCTAACGACATTCGTGCTAAACGTCTGCCAGTCGCCGGTGGAGGAAGGATCGCCGATGATGCCTTTTGTCTTCGCTAGTTGGAGAGGAGAGCAAACAGGGGTTCAGTGAGCTCGATTTGGGTAGAGAGACGTGGGAAAGAAGGGAAGGGAAAAGGGAAAATCGTTTTGAATGGAGGGATAGCTAATGACGTTCGTGCTAAACGTTCATTTACCATCATCGCACAAGTATAGCATGCACATGCATTTAGGAACACGTGTCATTCTCTCGTAATGTTCAAACGGTGTTCAAATGCATAATGCGATGACTGGAGCCGAACACGTTCGTTTACCGGTACCCGGGGAAATCACAATCCCTTGCAGTATTGAATTAGGAATATCTACCAATAAAAAAACATATAAGTAAATAATATAGAGATATTACCAATGCATGGTTGTAAAAGATTGTGAGAGTGGTACGAATACCTTATAAGCCCAATCTCATATCCCAGTAACATGTTTACTTGGGCAAATGATTCCCTAGCAATATTATCTAAGGAAAATTGCAATGCCATTATTTGTTTAGGTTTCAACTTATTCAGTTAGTTTGTGTTTGTTTTTTTGTGTAAATTCTATCAATGTAAAAATGGAGTTCAATGCTGATGGGTTTAAAATTTTATAATCGTTATAACATTTTTAAATGTGATAATTGAAGTAAAAGTACATTGATAAGATTGAGATATTATTTGCATCAATTGTTGAAGGAAAATTCAGCCAATGGAGAGGTTTTCAATGTAAGCCTTACACTTAAAACAAATGCCTGGAAATATGGACGAGGGTGGAGTTTTACATTGGTCTGTATTTATACTGAAAATAAATGTGGGTCAATATTATCTGGAAAATAATCTTTCCATAAGAATCATTACATTATATTCATGTTTGAATATGGGAAAATGGTCAATTACCCAATTGATCAACTTACTCCCCCCAGCCTAGGTGCACGGGATTTGATTCAAAGTCTTCGCTATGACCACCAGTGGACCTTACCAATGATTTAATTTGTTGAAGGATATACCCATACGCCATAACCCTAAATAAATCAATAAACCAATGAATTTAATACAAGTGATGTGTTAGAGTTTTAACATGGTGAAATATAATTAATCTCTATCATCAACCAAAATATACCCATAGGCCATAACTCTAAATAAATCAATAAACCAATGAATCTAATACAAGTGATGCATTAAAGTTTTAACATGGTGAAATATAATTAATATATATCATCAACCAAAACTAAGACGTCACCACTATCTCCTTTTGTTTCAAAAGCATTAAAAATATTGTGATCCATTTGATAATTTTTCCAATTTGTTAGTGGTTGAATATTACATATAGGGTTGTCAATGGGTCAATTTTAGGTTGGAACTAGGTAGAACCGGTCTTGGAACCGAATCAGACCCTATAGGTCTGTAATTTTGGACCTAGAACCAAATTGATCAGTTCTTGGGACAATCGGGTCCAACTCGATGGACTCGATTATGCATGCTAGTAACCCTTGCTAAAAGTGCAATTAAAACACTATAAAAACCTAAATTGCAATAAAAATATCAAAATATTCAAATGGAGGAAGATTTCATGTTTCAAAATAATATTTAAATGGAGGACTAATTGTCTAGTAGTGGCTACTGAGTAGTGGTGGTGGTGGTGGTGGAGGCTGGTGGATGGGAAGTGTTTTTCTGGCAGTGGGTGCTCAAGACTTCAAACATTGAATAAATCATTAATCTTACATGACAAAGGGTGTTACTGTTGACACCTTGATGGATGGACAGACAACCAGTCACTGGACGGATGAACAATGGTAGTGTTGTGTGATGGTTGATGTGCCTCCAGCCTCCACTCTCCAAACGGACGTCATGAACCAAACCAAAGTCACTGAGTCACCACTCACCAGAAAATTTCCTCTTTGGCTCTTTCAAGTTTTGATTTCAAATGAGAACTGAGAAGAGAAAGAGTGAAAGACTAGTCTTTAAACTCTTCACTCCTCAGAAATAAAAAGGTTTAGCCATTTAGGGGGTTGGGGGTAGCATTTCGGTTAGGTTTTGAAGGAAACCCCACCAAAATGACACTTTTAGCCCCTTCTTATTTGAATATGGCATATCACATATATGATGTGTGTGTATGTGTATATATATAGTGTTATGAACACACCACCCGGCAACGCACGGCGGCACAGCCATAGGCAGCAGCACACACAGCGGGCCGCTTAGCGGCACGCACCGCCCGGCAGCGCCGCATAGCAGGCTGGCAGCACGCGGCACATACCGCCCGA